TGTGGGGGGGAGCCCCAACCCTCAGAGTCCTGATTCAGGTAAGCCAAGGTTCCCACCCCTTAGATCATGGACTGTCAGGCAACAGGCTGGGGAGCTGGCATGGGTGGTGGGGGCTCTCCATACACATTCACTGAGCCTCACTACACCTCTGGGGAGAGACGTATCGTTATCCCCATTAAAGAGAAGGGGAAACTGAGGCATGGAGCAGCACAGCCACATGCCCCAGGTCATGGAGCTGGAGCAGCGCCAGTCTGAAGATTAGAGCTCAGGGGTCATGACTGCATGTGCCATATGCAGACCAGTAGGCCGTGCTGCCTCTCTTTCAACGTGGAAGTTTGACGGGAGTATGCCTGGAAATGAAAGTGAAAAGGGGAAAGGAAGCCCTGGGAGAAAAGGAATCCGGTTGGTTGGCTAATAGTGGTCTTAGTCTATTTCCACTTTCCACCCAGGGGGTGTATTTTGAAAACAAACCAACAGCTTTGCAAGACAGTCTTTGAAATGGCATTTTTTCAAACTTTCCTGGCGTGAAAAGCGAGGCCCAGCAACCAGTGCCTAGAATGTGGTGTAGGCTGGCACCCTAGAAGGGCCTAGAAGTGGTTTGGCGTCTCTCCAATACCAACAGCTTCCAGCTTTTATGATTAAGGACCTTCTCCTCTCAGCCTTTTCCTGCTTCCCCTTCCCAGCCCCCTCCCCCACGCATCTGAATAGGCTGACCAGGTTGGCCTGGTTCTTCACTCCCTGCTGCCCCACGTTCTCTGGCCCTTTTAGTTCTCAGCTTGTATGAGACCAATGGACTCCGAGGTAGGGGCTCAGGCAAAGAGAGATGCATCCTGGAGGCAAATGCCTGGCTGCGAAGATGGTGTCACCAACATGGTTTCAGCTTCCTTGGTCATAGGATGCTGTTCCAGGAAGAAGGTCTGTAAAGCAAAGATAGGGTCTGCCTATGGAGGAAAGGGAAGAGAGTATTGGACACAGACTGGCTAACCTAGTGAGGAGGGCTTTAAACCAGGTTTGACGGGGGGCAGATGAGCAAAGCCCACAAGTAAGTGAAAAACATGGAGGCCTGGGAGAAGGGTCAGAAATTGAGAGGACAAGACAGAACCTCAATAGACCTCAGTTGGAGTATTGTGTCCAATTCTGGCCACCACATCTTAAGAAAGATGTGGAGAAATTGGAGAAGGTCCAGAGAAGAGCAATAAAAATTATTAAAGGTCTAGAAATCATGAACTATGAGGGGAGACTGAAAGAACTGAGGTTGTTTAGTTTGGAAAGGAGAAGACTGAGAAGGGAAATAATAGTAGTTTTCAAGTGTCTTAAAGGGTGTTACAAGGAGGAGGGAGAAAAATTGTTCTCCTTGGCCTCTGAGGATAGGACAAGAAGCAATGGGCTTAAGTTGCAGCAAGGTGGGTTTAGGTTGGACATCAGGAAAAACTTCCTGCCTGTCAGGGTGATTAAACATTGGAATAAATTGTCTAGGGAGGCCGTGGAATCTCCACCACTGGAAATATTTTAGAGCAGGTTAGACAGACACTTGTCAGGGATGATCTAGACGGTGCTTGGTCCTGCCGTGAGGGCCGTGGACTGGACTTGATGACCTCTTGAGGTCCCTTCCAGGTCTAGTGTACTATTAATCTATGAACTGGGGGGCAATCAAATCAATATCTTAGTTGTCTGTATACTAATGTGAGAAGTATGGGAAATAAACAGGAAGAACTCGTACTGTTAGTAAACAAACCCCATGTTGGCATTACAAAGAGTTGGTGGGATAATATACATGACTGGAATATGATAGGATACAACTTGCACAGGAAGGACAGGCAGGGAAAAAGGAAGGAGGTGTTACCTTATATATTAAAATGCATATACTTGATTGAGGTTGAGGTGCACGTAGGAGACCGACTTATTGAGAGTCTCTGGATAAGGATAAAAGGGTTAAAAACAAGGGTGATGTCAGGTTAGGAGTCTACTATAGACCACCTAACCAGGAAAAAGAGGTGGCTGAAGCTTTTTTCGGACAACTAACAAAATCATCCAAGGCACAGGACTTGGTGTGATTGGGGACTTCAACTATCCAGACATCTGTTGGGAAAATAACGCAGCAGGGCACAGATTATCCAACACATTCTTGGAATGTATTGGAAACAATTTTTTTTTTTAATTTCAGAAGCTAGAGAAAGCTACAGGGGGAGACTGCCTTCTTCTTTCAGATTTTCAACCCATTCCTTCCTGTTTGTTAAAATCAAACCAAGAACAGTTTGGGTGAAAGTGATAATGAAACGATAGATCTCATGATTCTAAAGAATGGTAGGAGGGAAAACAGCAAAGTAAAGACAATGGATTTCAGGAAGTCAGACTTTAGCAAACTCAGGGAATTGGTAGGTTAGGGCCCAAAACTGACCCTGTGGATCCCCTTGTTATACCCTTCCAGCGCGACTGTGAACCACTGATAATTAATCTCTGGGAATGGTTACCTAGCCAGTTATTCACCCACCTTTTAGTAGCATCCATCTAGGTTGCATTTCTCTAGAGTGTTTCTCAACCTTTTTTTGAGCCTCGTTTACCCCTGCGGCCCCCCTCATAGCTGCTGTTAGTTGGAAAAAAAGGTACGTTATTTACCTAATGTTCCGGTTTTTCCATGTGGCCCCCTAGAGGTAGGGCGTGCCCCCTGGGGAGCCATATGGCCCACGGTATCAAATGCTTTACTGAAGTCCAAGTATACCACATCTATAGCTTCCCTCTTAGCCACAAGGCTTGCTAGACTATCAAAGAGATCTATCAGGTTGGTTTGATATGATTTGTTCACTACAAATCCATGCTGGCTGTTACCTATCACCTTATTATCCCCCAGATGTTTACAGGTGGCATCCTAGATTATTAGCTCCATTATCTTTCTGGGAACAGAAGTTAAGCTGACTTGTTTGCATGGGCAGTCGGTGAGGGTAGGGCTGGGAGAGGCAAGCCCCCAGCCTCACCCCCAGCCCTGTCCCTTCTCTTGCAGCCCCA